AGGATTTGAGGCCTGGCGGCCTTGAAAGTGGATTGTTGGGGCTTTATCAGGTTGTAGCTCGGCAAACTACGCTGGGAAAAATTGGTTTTGGCTAGCTTTCCTTTGCGTGTTGTCAAATTTGCATGTACTAGCCAAGCTGCGGAAAACACCCAGTCAGAGGAAATGGTGGTCTTGCACTTTGTGTCGCGGACCTCAAGCAATAGTTTTCCCTCCCTGGCAAAAATCCATTGTGCTTGCTGAGCTGGCTCTTGATCTTTGTACGAACGACCAAACTTATTGCTGGTGAACAAACTACACGAACAAAAATTGTGTGAACCACAAAAGACCCACTGCAATCGCTCCAGTTCCACTAGCCAGAGCCTTCTCGCGCGCAGGTGGACACGTGGCTTCAGCTTTGGTCGCCCCTGGCTGGCCAGCGTGTTGGCTGGCTGGGGGCGTTAGGGCACAACGACGTCACCATAATTTCGTAATTTCGACGACGTCACTAAATTCAGTTTTTGAATTTAACGAAATTAACCGACGACCCAGGAATTATTTTATATTGCCCAGATGGATGTCATGGATGTCTCATCCACCGGAATTCCGGTGGTTAGAGTTCGTTCTCTTCCTTCGCTCAAAGACCTTCGCTGCGTTCGTGAGGAGATGTACCAGATGATCACCCTGGGAGGAGATGCTGAACTGGAGCTGGTGGGACCTTGGAAGAGCTTGGAACCGGTGGAAAAAAAGCAAGGATGCAAAAGGGTTGCACTCCCTGCAATCATCATGGTTACGTCGAGTGGAGTGAACACCACCTCTTTGGTATGCGGAATGTTTATGGTAATCCTTTTTGGGGACATGTTTCACTTCCATTAGTATTTCATTAATTTGTCAGGGAGTATAAAATCCCCTTACTCAGAGACATTGGCTCAGCCTTCCCAGGTGGCGCTTTATATAGGGCCCAAAACAGTCTTGGGGAAGACTAAGCCGTTTGAGTTCCGAGGAAGGAAACACCCCTTTGGTCATTCCTGGTCGGGTTAGTTGGATCAGTTGGAATAGACGAGGGCCTGGAGCATTTATACAGACGGTGGAATGCAAGGAGGATGTGGGCCCCGGTGAAAAAGGCATGGGGTATCATAGCTATTGAACCGGACCACCTCAATGGCTGTAGCTTTTCATTCTTTTCTACCTTTGGCGATCATTTCCTGGAGAATCTTCAAAACACAGCATGTATCACCAGCTGGAAAGTCAGACTCATTAGGAAGAAAAACCGTTATTTAAAATTCCTTCTACCACTCACTTGTGCTCACTCTTAACTCAAGCCCTCGAGAGGTTGCAGACATGATTCTACCGATTTAGTTACAGTGAGACAGTGAGCGCCTTGCTGATGCTCACTGTCTTATACAACCGGGTTGGCTGGGCACACGGTTCAGGAAGGTTACAGTAGTACAGTAGTTTTGAAACGCCCATCGGCAATACAGGTGGGCAGTGGGCAATTCACTCACAATCCATTTTGGTGCGAAGCTTGGCTGTGGGTTGAACCGGGAGTTCCACAAAACCATTGATTTTCGTCAAATAAAACTAACTTCCCTCCCACCTTGCGCCCATTTGGGTGCTTTTTGTGGCATTGGTGATGGCCACGTGTCCCAAAAATGCTCCATCCAGGTGGATACGCTGGATCCCTTCAATGAGGGCATCCATTTCAGCGTTCGGCCGCCGAAGAAGAGCCCGGGGAGCCCAGAAGCGACCCGGGAGCGTGAGCGTGAGCTCGCGGCGCGGCGGCCTTGTTGCCAGGCGTTGAACTTGGCCGGCTGGTGTTGAAAGAGTTTCTTTTCGGCCAATGAGACACAGCAACTGGCATAGCCACCAAGCATGAGCCTTGAGGAGGGTATCAAGCTGAGTCGCACCAGTTTAAGTCTTGGAGCTGAGGAAGGATTTCCATTGTTTTGAGGATTGAAATCCAAAAACTGATTGGTTCTTTGCAGTGGGGAACTGGCTAATGCCACATGTTCAGGGGAATCAAGTCTATACATATATATATATGATTCTATGTGTCTCTTGAATCCTGCAATCTTAAATCCTTCAACAAGACTTGAGACTTGCTACAAACATGCAGTTGGATGAATAATTAAGCATCCGAAAGCCATCAATTGGCGCGTCCTCCCTGTCAAAAACCGGTCACCCGACCTACCTGCCGTCTTCCGGCTGTTTCGTCTCATGATGTCTCGCTCACCGTTGGAGGTTGGAAGCAGATCACCAACCTCTCTGGTGGAGAGAAGACCTTGGCCTCTTTGTCCTTGGTCTTTGCTTTGCATCACTACAGGCGGGGGACCAAGCTGCGGTGTTGCTACGGCTGGTAATGGTACGGCTGGTATGGCTGGGCGGGTGGTACGGCTGGGCGAAGATGGGCATCGCTGGTGGAAGGCAATCGAGATGACGGTCAGGTGGTTTCATGGTTTTCAAGTAGCAAAACAAATCTAATCATATCTATAATCATTATATAGGGAACAAATTGGAACAAGGGAATGAAATACAAAGGAATCTCGAACTGGGGGCTGATACCTTCATTCCATCATCTTATTTCCTACTAAGTTACTAAGCACCAGTTTGGTATATTCATATAGTATGATATTACGATTTTGACTGCAGGCATCTGCAGGCCCAGGCAGTCCACGTCCCACACATACGCTTCCTCTTCTGAACTTCTCATGCTGACAAGACCAGCTGAATTCTGTTGAGAGGGAAGCTTGAATTTACCAGGAACCCATTTGACCTTTATTTTGATAGGAAAAGACCATATCACGAAAGGTAGCTTGAGCTACCTGAGTTCTCCTTGCTTTAGCAAAAATGTATTACAATCAGGAGTTGGGATTGTGCATTGAATTTGGTCCTGTAAGAGTTGATTCTGTTCGTCGGGGGGGGGGGTGAAAGAGTGACTAGGGCGTACACGGTTGAGGTGCAGACCGCTAGTGTCTTTTTCTACGCAGAGTCTTATCCTCTTGAACCTTATGGCAGTCAAGCATGGACACACTAGATAGGCCACTGGAGTGGAACCTGTACAAGTAGGCCTCTACATTTCAGCAGGCACAAAATTCATGTCCACTCCAGCCTATTGCGTATGTCGCACACTATTTTTCCACCGTAAGGCTAAAACAGTCCAGCAAGCTCTAGTAAGCTTAAAAAGGAAACTACGGTGCCCTGTACTTACCAATTCCAGTGTGTTGCACACTATAGAAAAGGTAATCTCAAGGTATACTAGATACAGTGAGGGAGCGATAGCTTACTCACCTCAAATACAAAGTCAAAGACAATGTATCTCGGCTGGAGACTGTATCGTTCACCGGCGAAGATACCAGTACCGGCGCTCAATAGCCCTTAAATAGCCAGAGCTGTCAATCCTTCAGAAAATTCTAAATTCAAAAGGAAAGCGGCTTCTTTTGCACAGAGACCTATAAAAGCAGTAAACGACACCCGCGTAACGAAAAAAAAATTCAAGACCGCACAAAATGCAATGAATTAAGATGCCTTGCAAAATGCAAGGAGCGTAAATAATTCGGTCCGAGGAATGGTCTTCTCGAAAAGTGGTCTCGGCCGCTTCCATACACAGGACTTATACCAAAATTTTGAACTGCATCAAAAGGACTCTCTCACATTGATACCAAAAATCAGCCAAAAACAAAAAGGAAGGAGATACCGGCAAATGTATGTACAAAAATCTTGCACTACAATTGCAAATTCATAAAATGACTTAATCATCAACCATAAATGATTGTCCATTAGAGGTCACTCCAAAAGAGCGGCTGTGGTAGATATCATCAGTTCTGTAAAACTGTCCATACCTACCTGCAGATAATATCCGTTTAGTAAAACTGTATTTATCTGCATGCTAAAGCTTTTAAACCTGGAATGCAGGAGTATCTTCTTTGATAAAAAGTTTCTCCTTGTTGCAAACCAGAGTTCATTAAAACTTCAGCCTGGCAACTTAAAGTCAAACCTGGAAGCAAAGTATCAACTGTAATCAGAAGTATCTTCACTTCCTAGCCATCAATTAAGATTCAGCCTCCGCTCTGAGTTTCTGCCGCTGCAGTCGATGGAGCTGCTTGATCAGAAGTTGGCGGCCTTCCTTTCCTTTTATTCTCCTTCTGTCTCTCCTTCCTCCGCAAGTTAGACTCTCTAAGAGTCTCGCCCCAGCGATAAAGCTTCCTGTCTCCAGATGAAAGGGAAGCTGGTCTGAGTGAAATAAACATTGGACCATGACTGTCATCGTCAGAGGGTCTTGAGCACATAACCTCCGTGTCAATTATAGCAAAGTTCTCTGAAAAATTACAGACGAACTCCTTCGTGCTCACTGTGGAATTTGTATATTCCTCTTCACTCATTGAATGACCCCATTCAACAATGGTAGACAAACACGTATCGCCAAGCTTTGATCCCTGGTATATTTCTTTTTCTTCTGTAGAGTATTCTTTCTTCCCAGAGTTTCTCAAAGTAAACTTCACACTGCTTGAGGACATGTGAAGATGAACTGTAAAATGTTCTGGGAATAGGTGCTTTGATACCAGGATCTGCTGCTACACGGGCTTCTGAAAACCTGCGGATCCAATGCTGCATGGTGCTGTAATAATAGTTAGCCATTGGCTGCCTTTTGTACCCAGACATTCTGTAGGCCAAACTATTTGCATCACCAGAAATGATGTCCACCTCATATACAAAACACTCATAAAGCATCAATGCTGTCTGTTCTCCTGTCAATAGGTGGGCATCCACAGCACGGTGTGTGTCAACATGATAATTACAGACTCTGATTGTATGCATGTTCGCTCGAGTAAGTGGAACACGCTGGTCCTTAGGACCATAGTCCTCAAATTCAAAGTCTGCATCCTTGAAATCTTGACGAGGCCTTGTTTCTCCAAAACAAATCTCATAGATAGCCCAAGTTACATCACGCTGTTGACAGTGATCAAGGTCTTGTTCATGTCCAGCAATGACCTTGACATATCCACCTGGTGCCAATCTAGCCATCACTGCAAGATTCTCCCAATCATTGAAACAAACTGTCCAATTCTTTTGCTCAAGAAAATCCTTGGCAGTAACAAGGAGATGAGCTTCCTGGAGAATCACGACATGTGCACGTAAAAAGAAGAGCATGTTGAAGAAAAGGTTGTTTTCAAATTGCTCATATTGAAGTGACATGTCACTCTGTTTGCGTGGCTTCATTGCACGATCAAGTCCTTGGAGAAACCTTGGTGTGGTGTATTTCTGACCACGAACCATGTTGCCATAGTTCCAGGATAAAAATGTCAAAGACTCTGAGCTGGCCAATAAGTTAGTTCCATATTGTTCTTCTATTTTTCCTTTGAGGAACTTTTTGCACAGCTCTTCATAGAAGGCGACATAGTCCCAACTGGGTCCCTTGGGACCATATGCTTCCAGTTCTTCTCTAAAATGTTTCTTTGTCACCTCCAAATCTGCTCGAGCTTGTTCTGCCCTTTCAAGGGCCCTTGCATCGACCTGATACTTGTCATCCAAATAAATGATGCGGTCATCATTGATGAAAAATCTCTTCAAATCATGCTCTGAGCTGTCCTCATCACAATCAGGTGGAGGTACTGGACAGATCCTTCGAATGGATCGAACAAAGTCATCCTCGGTGATCATTGACTGATAGTGAGGATGGGAAATCTCACCTTTTCTGAAACAAACATGGTTCAACAATCTTGCGTGAGTTTCCCTGAAGCATTGTTGATAAAAGCCAATACCTTGATCTCCTGTAAGCTCTCCAAGCAACTTCAAAGGTGAAGTATGCAACTCATAGGTATTGTCAACATCCACTGTATCTGGATCAACAACTACTTCAGATGGAAAAGATTCTTGAATTTCAGCCTCCAATTTCTTCTCTCCATCATCCTCTCTGACCTCTCTTATCTTCTCCACCGCCTTTTTCTTCTCCTCAAATGTTGCATCATCCTGAACTTCTTCATGAAAATGAGGATCAGGAATTGTATTCAGGCGGCTTTTCTTAGATTTCCGCGGACTTGAAGTACCACCAAGGCTAGCATCCTTCTCACCTGATGGTAAGTGCGATGCAGCTGAGTCCTCACCTATCTCTCTTGACAGAAAGTGTGATGCTGACTCATCCTTGGCTTCCTCCTGGTCCACTTCCATCTTTGTGTCCTCTGAAGGAAAAACACCTGCATTCTCATCAAAAACTTCTTCATCTTTTGCGGGTTCAACTGCAGGATCTTCTTCATGGACTTCCTCTTCCATATCTTCACCTTTCATAATCTTCATACCACCAGTATGGATCTCACCAGTGATAGTGGAGACTCTTGTGTAAGGAGGAACTTCTTCACCTGCCTCAAAAGCTTGTTGTGCGATATCCTTGGTGAGCAAGTCCTCTACAAGACTTTCTCCCATGGTTCTTGGAAGAGATTCTGAGGTCTCAAAATAATCTGTCCTCTCTGAACTGAAAAGCTCCGTTGCCTTCTCATTGTCCTTTTTATCATTAAAAATATGAGTAATCTTCACTGCTTCTCCCTGTAACACCTGATCACCTTCTCTATACTTGTTGACAATGGAGCGCCATACTGGCACATCGTCATCATCAAAATCAAGCTCCATATCATCTGCCATCAAGTTTGAGATGTTTTGAGCTGCCTGTTCTTCTTCTTCCTCACGTTCTCTGGCAAGCTCCTCATCCTTCTGGATCTTGAAGATACCCTTCAGGATGTTTTGTAGTACCTTTAAGTTCAGCTTCGATGATGGCTCAAACGTCCCTGAACTTACAGGCTCAACTACAACACGAGAGCAAGAAATCGCCTCCAAAAACTTGGAATTGTATTGGCGTTCAAACTCTTCCTTCTTGATCATCTCATACAAGGGATCAGAAACTGCAACACGCGCCTGAACATATTCACGAAGTTGATAGCATGCATGTTGCACAAATCTGCTGTTGGAGTTGTGAAGAAAACTCTCTAAGTGATTCCTGTCACGGTCAATCAAATACCACACAACTCTTGCAGAAAAACGGAATTTCTTGAAGTTCATAGCAAAATGTGTATGATACTTATCTGGATCCTCTTCTGCATATAAGGCGGCCTCTGAAGTCTTGTAAACAGGGAGATTTGTGAATGGATCCAAAATCATAAACTCTTCCCACAAGATCGAATGCTGAAGAACCCACCTGGGAAGCACCTTGATGAAAAAGTCACAAACAAGTTCAGACAAAAGGTGCATGACACGGCCAATCTCTTCATCCTGCTTGAAGCGATAGTGCAATTTGGCAAATAAGGGACTGTTGAATGCTTCCTCCACTGAGTTGCCAAAATTATCCCACTGAGGTTCTGGAATACCAAAGTTC